CATTCATGTAAACGTTAATAGTTGAAGTCCTGTATAGGTGTTTATACTAAAATATTTATTAGCACCTGAATAGTTAAAATGTCACCTTAGATTTAGTTTTAAAATAATTATATTCTTCCTAGGAACCTGCATCCCCAGTAGTTTCACCACAGCAGTCTCCGCCGACTTCTCCACATACATGGAGGAAGCACAACCGTCATTCCAGTGGGGGGAATAATGAGAGGCCTCTTGCAGGACCTGGGCCATTTTGGTCTCCTTTTGGTGAAACACAATCAGGTATTTGAGATATTCCATAAGAATTATTTAGAATTTTCAATTTGACATTCCTTTAAGAGTTGCTACCAAGACAATTTTTAATTGTAAGGTTAACTTAAATAGAAGCAAAAGCTAGTAATGAAAAATTGTAAGTAGATACATTGCTTTGAAAAGTTGTGATTACATTTACTTAATATAGATATGATACTAGAAAAAAGATATGGTTAACATTCTCTGAAGGTAAAGTGGGTAATCATTTCCCAGAAAATTGGGTATATTAAGTTTTATTATTGACAAAGAAAGCAGAAAATGACTAAAAAGAGTTAAATGAGATAATTTTTAATTGAACAGAAAAGATTCCTTAGGAAATTGTATCATTTCTTTGAAGTTGGAATTTGACAGAAAACTTTTTTTTATTAAAGCATATTAATGATACAGAATAGGGGATTTCAATGGAAAGAAAACTTTAAAAATGTAAGTGGTAGTTTGTTACAATCTTAGCTTAAAACCCTGTTTTGTTTTGTTTTTCCCTTCAAATATGATTCAGTGTGTTCACCAATTTTCCTCCTAGGTTCTTCTGCTGGTGATGCAGTGTGGTCTGGGCATTCTCCACCTCCACCTCCACCTCAAGAAAACTGGGTCAGTTTTGCAGATACTCCACCAACCAGTACTCTTTTAACCATGCATCCTGCTTCTGTCCAGGTGTGACATTTTATTGGTATTGCATTTTTATTTGCTTCATTCAGAGTATTGCTGCAGTCATTATTTTTATATTTTGCTGTTGCAGATTTTATAAATGTAAGTTGACTCTTATTTAAAAAAAAAAAAAAATCCAGAACTTCTCTGTGTTATTTTTCAAGCCTGTTATCACTGGAATGTTTCACTAAAGGTTCTGGCTGATTTATTTGTTTCTAATTTCCCAGCAAAGCTTGGAAAGGTTTCTGCATCTGTAAATATATTTGCTTGGCTTCCTTAGCACATTTTTCATAACTTTCTGTTGCTTACATAATTGCTGTCATTCTACACATTTATATAATCATTGTGCAACAACATATCCAATAACCTGGCTCTAACTAATGTGTGATTTGCTGATGACTTCTTACATTTTAAATATCCACAAAAAAAATAAGTTTTACTATCAAGGATGAGTAACCTAGCAATCTTGGTCCATATAATCATATAGATAGATACTGTACTGAGGAAAAAATGTTTCATTGCAGGACCAGACAACAGTACGAACTGTAGCCTCAGCTACAACTGCCAATGAAATTCGTAGGCAATCCAGTAGTTATGATGATCCCTGGAAAATAACAGATGAACAAAGACAGTATTATGTAAATCAGTTTAAAACCATTCAGCCTGATCTAAACGGATTTATTCCAGGTGAGTTGTTGAAAACAGAAGTTCTCCTAGATGGGACAGGACAATCTCAATTTTATAATCTGAAAGACATTGTTCTATTGGTCCTAGATTTTAATTATAAAAGATCATTAATTCTCAGATTATTTATCTAAAAAGTTTATAATCACTGAGGACCAAAAATATGACATATTCACAATAATAGTTACCTTTTTCCCAATGAGAAAAAGTCTAAAATTATTCTTACCTCATATTCTGTTTTTAGATCGATACATTCAGAATAACATTAACACTGTTTTAATATTTCAGGATCTGCAGCTAAAGAGTTTTTTACCAAATCAAAACTTCCTATTCTTGAACTTTCTCATATTTGGTAAGTGTGGTATATCATTAGTTGGGTAACATGGGTTGTTTCAAAGGAGTTTCCAGCAGGTAGATTTCAGAACCTTAAAACTATGAGATTAATCCATTCAAAAATGTTCTCAAAGAATTTAGTATGGCCTTACAATAGCCAGTTTCTCTCTCACTTTCTAGGAAAGAAATAAGTGATAGTGGACATCCTTTCATAGTAGAAATAGGTGATATGGAAATTTTTTGAATATTGTAAAAATCAAACAATATTAGCTCTTCTTGTTGCTAGCATAATGAATGCATAGAATAAAATCTAGTATACATGGTTGTTGCTTATCTCTTTTGGTTTTGGTTTTTATCAAGTTTAATAAGGTCTAATGAGAGCAGACACATTCAGGGCCTGAAGTTCTATAGCAGGCCATAAGTTGAAAAGCAATGCTTAGCTCCCATGTTGAACATAGACTAAAACTCTCTAGATAGTTGCCACATAGTTGGAATTGGCCATTGGAACACAAAATACAATTTCAAATTATGTTTGAAACTAATGATCAGATAAACATTATTTCTACTTGGTATCAATATATTTCTCTGTTTTCTAAATTATTTTGTAATAGATTTTTAGTAGCATGTAGAGTACTGTAATAGGAGGTAGGTAGATTATGCCTAAAACTGAGATACCAAGAACTAGCATGCCCTTTATAGATAAAGGCAATAAATACAAAAGTGGTGACCTTACATCTAAGAAGTGGTAGGGGACAGCAGCGTGGGAGGCCGTATTTTTGTATTGAGTGTTGTAGTTCTATTCAGTGCTTTAAAATGCATACATGTTGAACTTTGATAACAATAAAAACAAAATTTTAAAGAATATCCATGGATTTATATACAGCTTACTTTAAACTTTATTACTTAAATACATGGGCTAAATTAAATTAGGTCATTTTTTTGGTGGCCTTAATTATTGGCACTATTTTTCAGCATTTTATTATGAGAATTTCAAGCATGTAGGAAAGTTGAAAAATTATAGGTACCCAGATACCCACCACCCTCATTCTACGATTAACATTTTAATTATATTTGCTTTATTATATATCTTTATTACACATCTGTGGGATTTTTAAACCTCATGACTTTGTACTTTTTGGAGGAAAGAACATCTCTTTCCTATTTTTTGAGAAAAAAAAAGGAATCCAAAGCAGAGTATGGTTGTGTTCATAGTAAGTTTGTCTTCTAGGGAACTCTCAGACTTTGATAAAGATGGTGCATTGACACTGGATGAGTTTTGTGCTGCTTTTCATTTGGTGGTTGCTAGGAAGAACGGCTATGACTTACCAGAAAAACTCCCTGAGAGCTTAATGCCCAAACTGATTGATTTGGAAGATTCAGCAGGTAAGATTGGGAGCCAGAGGGAGCTGTTTGCATGCCTTGATAAATATAATTCTTGATTTAAAACAAAATCAAGATATATGTTAAAGTGTAGCTTAATAGTTTTGACTTTCCATTAGGAGCAAATAGATTTGCCATTAGAAAAGACAAGTAGACTGAACTTGGATTTATTTTAGTCAGCTTTTAAAAATAAAGAGGAAGTTAGAGTTGTGACTTAGTGTTAGAGCACTTGCCTAGCACATGTGAGGCACTGAGTTCAATCTTCAGCACCACATATTAATAAATAAATAAATGAAGATATTGTGTCCACCTACAACTTAAAAAAATATGTAAATAAATAAATAAAAATAAAGAATATATACCATTGTTTTATCTTTAACTTGTTACTTGCTGAAATTTGAAGAGCATTTCACAGTTTTGACATTTGTCTTCTATTTTAATTGCATTATATATTGTCTGAAGTGGGTATAATCTGTCTTTGTTAAAGACATCTTTCTATTTAATGCATCTTAATTTGTTGAAAAGAAATCATCTGATTTATCTTTAGACCTTTGCAATCACAAACATTTTCCTTTAAAACACCAAACTTTTTTAAATGCAGATTTTAAGGAAATCTGGAAGTTTTGAGTTTGATGTTAGATAATATTGTTTTGTTAACAAGAATGTTAAATGATTGTATTTACTGATAGACTTCTTTAAAAGTACATTGAATACATAAATAGGCATTTAAATGACAGAGCAGGTGGTTTTTAACTGTTCTGTTTCTATACACACTGATCACGTGTATCTGTTTGAGGTACTGAAAGATAAAAAGGGATGTGTTTCCTGTCTTTTCCTTCATAATCATTGTTGTACACATTAAACATGGGCATGTTTCATTGTTTTATCTACAGTGCATAGCTTATATTTCCCAAATTCTAAATAATGTGTTTTTTTCCCAAAAATCAGGGGTAAAAATTACCATTCTTAAATTCTGAATGAATAAAGGGAAATTTGTTACATTAATAAGCTTCCTTAAAATCATTTTATTATCTTCAGTCTTCCCTTCTAAATTCAGTATTTGGCTTTCAAATGAACATTTATCAGGAAACGTCTCTTTAACCCAGAAGTGTCTATCGTCTAATTTTATTGTCTAAGTTATACCAAAGGAAATCATACATATGATTACTTTTGTGAAGAGAATGACTCAAGAATATGAGCGTGCTTCTAGTTTTGCCAGTTATGTCTGTGACCTTGGACAAGTTCCAACCAAATACTCCTTTTCCCTCTGTTTCTCTACCTAATATATGAAATAGATGCCATTCACATTGACCTGTACACTGACCTTTTGTCAACTGGTAGGTCGATTAAATAAAGAGTTTAGCATTGATTTTATTTTTTTTAGGAACTTTTTTTTTTTAATGAGAATCCTAAGGTTTTATTTCAGATACTTATAAAGTATCATTTAACCTCTAACTTGAACTAAAGCTAAAAACTGTGTCTTTATTTATGTAGTTTTGTTTCAGAGTACTTGATTTATCTACTTAAGAAATAAACAAATAACTCCTTTGTTTAGCTCAGATGATAGTTGCCAAAAGAAGAAATTGCAGTAGCCTCAGACTCCTGGTATTATTTGGTTTAAAAATTAAGCCTTAGGACAGTGGGTGTAGCTCAATGGTAGAGTGTTTGCCTGGTTATGTGCAAGGCCCAAGGATTGATCCCCTGCACCTTTAAACAGTAACAACAACAAAAAAAATTTGAATCTAGGATATAGAGTTTTTATATGACTGAAGCTTTTGAAAACTGATAGTGTAGTAATACAAGGAGATGATTTAAGTTAACTTTACTCTTTTGTATGTAATTTTCTAGAGACTTGTCTGGTTTTGTCATCTATATATGTAGATAGCTGAATCTGGCTTTTGCGTGTAATTAGTGGGTTTTTCTTTTATTTAATTTGAATAAAATCATTGCCTTAGTAAATATCTACTGCCAAATTTTAAGGCTGATGTTCTGAAAGTAGTTCTTTTCTGGGCATTTTGTCCAATTTTATACTTGTTACATCTATTTAATTGTCTTTTTGTCCATTTTATACTTGTTACATCTGTTTATCAGAGAGGATAATATTTTGCCTGCATATGTCTGTGCACTATTGCTTTTTAACTATGATTTTAGAGGTATCACAGGCTTAAGACTAAATATAATACATGGTTTTCTGATTAGCTTTTTTATAAAAATTTTAACCACATAGATTCACATCTGTTTTGTCTATTTATAAATGATAAATTTTGGAATTCTGTTAAGTTAGGGGTTGTAGGAAAGAAGTATATCTTTTTTTCCCACCTATGATAACCCTGGGATTCATATGACACAAAACCTGTTTAATGTAGAAATTGTCCTGTGCTACTGTGGGTCAGTCAGTGTCCATAAAAATTATAAATAGCTGTGTTTTTAGAAGTGCACAAGGGAGAAGTAACCAGATAGTTTCTTCTGGCAGAAGAAGAAATTTCAACTACTATACTTTGAGCTTCTTTTAAAAAAGATGTATCATATTCATTATTAAGTATCTTTAGGAACTAGAGTGTTGGCAGCCATATACTAAATTGCTCAGTAAAGAATTATTAGAAGATTAATGCTATTAATGTGTACTATTTTCAAAGTAAGAAAGTTTTGTTGATACCTTTCTGACCTTGAAAATATAGCAGTTTATTATATTTGAAAATATAGCAGTTTATTATATTTGTGATGTTGGGACATACTAAAATATTACCTGTACAAGTATTCTATACTTAGAATTTAAAACTCTTAAGGGGTAGGGAACAGATCAGTAGCAGAGTGCTTGCCTAGCATATTTGAGGCCCTGGATTCAATCCCCAGTACCAGGTAAATAAGTCCAACAGTCAAATAGATGGTAAACAGTGGTAACTTGAATTAGAGCTCCTGGGAGTAACAAGTTGGCTTTCTTCAGATGTGTAGACATGGGTTGAGGTAAATATATATTTTTTCAAAAATAATTTGAGCAGGTTTATGGGATTAAATAGCAGATAAAACAATTACAAATCAGAGGTAGAAGTACTTATATAAACAAATTAAAATATGTACTGTCAGCACTGAATTTGGCAACTAAAATAGAGAAACTTGGTATTTGTTTTACAAAAAAAGGCATGTAAAAAATTCATCCTCAGAAACAGTGTCTGAAGCTGAATTCAAGAATGTTTATCTTAAAAAAAATTAAAATAATCTACTAGCTGCTACTGTATTGTTTCTTAAGGGGAAAAAATGTAGAGGTACTGTACATCTTAAATCCAAGTCTCCAAAGAATAATCTTCTTTGTAGCACAGATACAGTATTACAGTTCTTTTGTGATTGTATGATACATTTTCATCTCTCTTTCAAACTAAACTATAAACTCTGGGGATAGTAAGCGGATTAGTTTTGTTTGTTGTATGTCAGCACCTAGCAGAGTACAAATTGAATACATAAATAGGCAGTTACATTTTTTAAAGGACATTGACAGAGCAGCAGGTAGTTTTTAACTGTTCTTTTTCCATACACACTGATCATGTAAGTATCAGTTTGAGATATAATGCATTATCTGTTTGAGACATTGAAAGATATAAAAGGGGTGTGTTTCCTGTCTTTTCCTCCATAAATATTGCTGTGCACTTGAAATGTGCATAGCTTATATTATATATTCTCCATAATCATTGCTGTGCACTTGAAACGTGCATAACTTATATCTATAGTGCATAGCTTATATTCCCCAAACTCTAAGCAGTACTTCCATCATGAATATTTTTAAAAGCCAGGTAAGAGAAGGCACGTGAAACTTCTCATGAATAGTTTACTAGAAATCCATGTAAATTGAGACTACCTTTATTCAAGTTAATTACTGTGAAGAGCTTCTCTTGTATACATCAAAAAAAAAAAAATTAACAAAACAGCCTAAACACACGCCCACACACATACCAATAAAAGTAACAATCTTGGTTTTTGAAAATTCATTATCCAAGTGCTGTTAATTACAGAGAAAAAAATAATGAAAATATGTACTAATACTCATCATCATTACATTCAAGGAATTATTTCTCAAACCACCCCATCAACACACACACTCATTCTTACTGTCATTTCTAGGTACTTATTATAGCTGAAAAATCAATACAATAAATTACAAATATTGGCAAAAAAGCACTATGTAATGAATTGGTGGGAGTAATTAGAATTTCTCAACTGCAAGACATTGACAAACCAAGCTAGATAATACTTAAAGGAGAAAAACTATGAGGATAATTACAGTTAGGACTTTAAGAGATTATAGTTTCAGATCATGGAAATAATCAATGATCCCCTTAATTGTTTGTTTTTGCAGAAATGACTTTTTTATTTATTATTGTGCTATGAAAGTGAAAAAGGAATAAAAGGCAGTTCTGTTTTCTCTTAGAGAACTCTGTAGGAGAGGTGGCCTTGTCTTCTTACTTAGTACTATATATCCCAGGAGCCTGGAACCTTAATAGGCTCTCAGTAAGCATTCATAGACTCAATTAGTACTTTTTAATTTTGCCAAATTACACTCAGAATTAACATTTTTTTTTCATTCTTTGCTCTTAATACTTATTTCCACAATGTTCTGTGTGTTTAAGACAAAGCCTCAATTATATTTCTTTTCCTTTTTTTTGAAATACTAGTTCTTATTTTAAGTAGTTTAAATTAAATGGACTTTGTTCATTTTAAGCTACCGTTTGATAATGGGAACCTCTTCTGTATCTATAGTAGAATAGCTGTTCATCAGTATTGTGAAAGAGTTAGCAGATAAAATATAATTAGAATTTTGGGTGTATTGTTTTTCTTTCACACCTAATTAGGCACGATTTTATTTTAATTTAAAAAAAAAGCTTTGATTTTTTTAAGTTAAAATGGGTGGATTTCTACATAGACCTTCTTAAGGTCTGTTTACTTAAAAAAAATTCCAATTTGTGGAAGTTGGAGAGAAGTGGAGTTCATTTTTTAAATAGAACTTAGTTTTT